GATGTTCCTTTTAGTAGCTATGCATTTCTTTTGTGTGTGTATTTGTGTGTGTATGTGTGTGTGTGTGTGTGCGTGTGTGTGTGGACATTATATAGATTAAAGACTACAAAACAGCTCACAGAAGCCAGCTGCAGGCCTCAGAAATGAGATACCGAGAAAGGTGGTCCAAGTGACAAAAAGGGACAAAGTCTGCCATCAGACAATATGTCAATAACTCGATACCCAGTCGTTATAAACCTGAGTGGATCAGTTACAGTTACGATGGTTTGGACATGTATGCAGAATGGGAGCAAATCGGCCAACATGGCAGGCATAGGATGCTAAGAACCATTGAACCAGACCTTAAGGGCGACCTAGGGTGCCCTAGGAAGACAACATCCGACAGTATCTAATTGACAGAGGACTGGAATGGAACAAAGCCAGACAGAAAACCGCAGATAGAGACGTCTGGCGATCCCTCTTGGAAACCTCTACACCCCAAGGTAGAAGAGGAGCGACTAAGTATGTAAACAAAGAGTTAACAGTAAAATTAGAACTTGTGAACTGGATATCTTTTCAGCGACGTATAGCCAAGATTTGTAAAAGAAACAATTACTTTAGTAAGGTAAATAGCAACTGAGGAAACCGGAGAGGGATATACTGAGAACTGGCCAACAGATTTGTACTTCAGTACCGGAGACGTAACACTCTCAAAAGTAGTTGAACAAATAAAGTGAAGTGGCTGATTTCTGAGATATTTTATTAAAGCCTGGTAAAAATTGAACAGAGAAGAGCGGTTTAACTAGAGCTTCACAGCTGACAGACGTACTTGGTGGCCATAGTGAAGCACTCAGTGTAGGCCGTGTGTTAGAGGAAACAATGTCAACATTGTAAACCCTGGTTCTTGATTGCTTGAGCTGGTACGTTTGAGCTATCGGGCACTTTAGATGTCACAAAATGTTCAACGGTAGTGTGGCAGTGTTTATGTGTGTGTGAGTTCGCGCGCGTGTGTGTGAGAGAGAGAGAGAGAGAGTGACAGAGTGTGTGTGTGTTTGTAATCCATTTGAAAATTGAACAAAATATCGTTTTTGTGCAAGTGTAACAAACTTGACCTTCAGCCAAATAGTGGAAAAATAATATCTGAAACTGATTTAAAGACATCCCTGTGTGGGTTTCGGGGCCCTGTTAAATGGACAACACGAATAGATCCACTGCCTACTTAAAAGCATGTCGTAAGAGTCGACTAATTGGGAGCTTCCTTTAAAGTCGGATTGTATTTCCATGAGAGGCAAAGAACCAGCAGTCTGCATACAAATGATTCAGATCTGTAAATCGAGTGCACACGCAAAACTCAGGTTCTGGAACAGCACTGCAGTCCAGAAGTGGATGAACAACCAGAACTTTCCGTCAGAGTTTACAGCTGGTGAACGTGAAGAAGAAGAAGATTGAAAGACAAACGATAATACAATGACCAGATAAAAGGTCCAATGAAATTGTCTCAAAAGAAATGAACTAACGAAGACAGCTGATTGCCAGACGAAAATCTACTAAATTATTTGGTCACGTTAAAGTGAAAACTGGAACATGTAGTGACACTGAGCAAGTTTGAGGAAGACAGAAGCAGATGGAGACCAAGTGTGAAGATACTGAACAGTCTAGTTTCACATCATGGAAGAACATCTGTATAAGACATTACTGACATGACAAGACAGACATTTCCTGACACACATGGTGACCAACACCACACAGCATGGAAGAACATCTCTATTAGACATTACTGACATGACAAGACAGACATTTCCTGACACACATGGTGACCAACACCACACATCATGGAAGAACATCTCTATTAGACATTACTGACATGACAAGACAGACATTTCCTGACACAGATGTTGACCAACACCACACATCATGGAAGAACATCTGTATTAGACATTACTGACATGACAAGACAGACATTTCTGGACACACATGGTGACCAACACCACACATCATGGAAGAACATCTGTATTAGACATTACTGACATGACAAGACAGACATCTCTGGACACACGTTGTGACCAACACCACACGGCATGGACAGAGGCACTGACACAAAGAAAACATGTTCTGTAATCTTCTGTAGACTATACATATATAGCATTAGCTAAAACAAAGCGGATTACTCGCTACAATATCTGAATATGCGAAGCAGCGCAAGAGAAAGTGTCGTAATTATTGAAATTATATATGTATATATATATATATGAGAGAGAGACAGAGAAAGAGTTCACATAGACACTTACGCTGCTTGTAAGATCAGCCTCTTTATTATAAGATATATCCTTTGCAACAGTAATTCCAGGATAAACACTCTGGAGACAATCTGCAGATCCAGGAGACACAGGGTGGAGATTGTCTACCGATCCAGTCAGCACCTGGAAGGACTCCACACAATTGTCTGACACACCTGTGGTTGTATTTGGCGTGTAGCTCTCAAAGGCTTCCACTGTGTTGTGAACACCCGTCATCTCTTCCATACGATGTCGTGGCGTATCCATTAGAATGGCGTTTTGCCAAGAATCACCGGAACTCAAACCTTGGGTAGATTCAAAGGGGGAATGTATACAAGACGATGGTAACAAGGAACCAGTTTCATCGTGACTGACTGTCTTGGTCTCATTCTGTAAAGTTTTGTACGTATCTGTATTGTCTAAACTATTTTTCACTGCACATTTTAGCGTTTGCCCTTTTTTATGTGGATGTTCGCTTGTATCGGCAGTCGTGATGTTTGAAACTTGTTTAACTATTGCGTCACTAAGTAGCTGGTGATTTGTGGGACGGCGGCGAATTCTGCTGTATCGAGAAGCGGCATACAGCCCTGGTGTGTCTTGACCCTTGTAACTAGGTAGTTCCATCTGGTGCTCTAGGGTAGGGTCAGTGTCTGGAAGCGAGAAACGTCTCCTGCTATGCGATGCACGTGTCTCTTCAACCCTCCATTGGCGGCCACTTGGTTTTACAACTGAAGCTTCAAATGAGTACTCGCGTTGAAGTTTCAGCTTTGGAATAGAAACATTCGCATTTGAGCGACATCGTGTATTCGTGCATTGATCATCTGTCTGCTTGGCAGTCATGTCGGATACAAATAAGCCATCTTCCTTGTCCAGAAGTAAATTTTCTTTGACAATGTCATGTGGATTTCTGTAGAAGTGAACAGTGTCCGATCGCCATAATTCATGTTTGTTAGATACTGGTTTGTTATTAGTATCAGAATGTCCATCTCTTAACGGCGACTTGTCTACTATGAGGCTGTCTAGTGGGGCATTCTCCAGAAGCGTCACCGTGTTTACACTTAAGTTCATTTGGTTGTTAAATGTATTCTGTTTGGACGTAAAAACGTGATCGGAGTGGGAGCTCACACCATGTTTCTCACTCAGCTGGGCAGCACTCAGCACTGAAGAAGTTTTCATCTGTTTCTTGATCTTCCCTCTGTTGATAAACCGTTTTATTTTCTCAGCACCACTGTAGAGCTCTGTGAGAAACTTGCTTCTGTTTCTATGGGTGTATTCTTGTGTTGACAACACGCTCTTTTGGCTTATTGTGTCTTCGTGATCGTCATCGTTGCTTGTCTGCCCCGACTCTGTGTTAACTAATGATAGCATTTGGGCCCTCTTGTTGTCTTTCTTGTTTCTGTCGCTCTTCGGTGAAGCAGATTTCACTTCAATCACAGAGAGCGATCTGGTTTTTGTCGATTCCATACTGGAAACTAATGTTGAAGTATTCGGGTCTGGTGAAAGAGAAGCAGGTGATGGCAGAAAAGCAATGTTCGGGGTAATGGTATGGCTGACTAAGTGATCATCGTCATAACCAGAATCTGTGGCCCTCACATCTTCCAGTAGCGAGGTGTGGCTGTGAAAGTCTTGATCCGAAGTCAAGAAATCCCGACTGAATGTTTGGGGTGGTAGAGTGAAGCTTCCTGTGGTCAGCGAAGTAGTCTCGACGATGTCAGAGGCTGGTTGAAGAGTTGCAGCCGTGGCAGATGCAGGTGAAGGCAACACGATACCACCATCGGACAACAACACTCTAGCCGGTCGTCGTGTGATACGATACCCGCTAATGGAAACGGGCTCAAGAGCAGTCTTGCTGATATCGGCATGAGAGGAGAAGGAAAAGGCTGGGCTGGTTACAGTCGCCATGGTTACTGGACTGCCATGTTTGCTGGTAGCGCAGACGTGACTAGTCCCGGTACATGGTGTACAAGAAGTGGGCCTACAACTATCACACGACAGGTATTTCCCCGGAACTTCTCTATTAGAGCCGAGGTCTGTGTACTGTTGGTCTAGGTTCCAGCCGCTGCTGTTTGTTCTGCTGTCTATGTTAATATATAAAGACGACGTGTACCTCCTGGAGTCAACACGATTAACGCAAGTTGCTGTGGGTTGGTTGTCCTTGTTGATATCTACTCCTTGACTGGAACAACAGAATGTTATCTCATGTCGCAGTGGGGGCTGCCAACTTTGTCCAGGCTGTTAATAAATAAACAAACACTGTTATTAGCTAAACATTAAAAGTTATGTCATCTTCAGTCCAAGTGTAACTAATAATTTCAGAGTAGGTTCTCTCAATACTTTTAGTTCTCTTGAATAGAGCTGTACCGAATAGGTGATTATCACTTTTCGGCCGAATACAAATAACGGCACCAACTATTCGGCCGAATACGAATAGTATTTAAAATAGATTTAAAAAAAAAATCATTCATAATGTCAAATGTACGCTGAACTTTTACTTCACAAAATGTAGTACAGAATAGTAAACATTTAAAAACATGTTATGTTTTGCATTATTTAGTCAGTCTGTGAAAACTAATAACAGGGAATAAAAGTATTCTAGGTATTGTAATAAGTATTTCACAGTAGCTGCAGCAGCCGCCGTGTATGCAGAAGCGGGTGTAAGGTAACCATTTTTTGCAAGTATTCGGCCGAACACGGAATACTTATTAGGTCCACTATTCGGCCCCGAAGCGAAAACGCAGCGAATGTTCAGTACAGCTCTACTCTTAACACATTCAGTTCTCTCAACACATTCAATTCTCTCAATACGTTCATGTCTCTCAACACATTCAATTCTCTCAATACGTTTAGTTCTCTCAACACATTCAATTCTCTCAATACGTTCATGTCTCTCAGCACATTCGGTTCTCTCAATATGTTTAGTTCTCTCAACACATTCAATTCTCTCAATACGTTCAGTTCTCTCAACACATTCAATTCTCTCAATATGTTTAGTTCTCTCAACACATTCAATTCTCTCAATATGTTTAGTTCTCTCAACACATTCAATTATCTCAATATGTTTAGTTCTATCAACACATTCAATTCTCTTAATATGTTTAGTTTTCTCAACACATTCAATTCTCTCAACACATTCAGTTCTCTCAACACATTCAATTCTTTTAATACGTTCAGTTCTCTTAACACATTCAGTTCTCTCAACTCATTCAGTTCTCTCAACACATTCAATTCTCTCAACACATTCAATTCTCTCAACACATTCAGTTCTCTCAATACATTCATTTCTCTCAACACATTCAATTCTCTCAACACATTCAGTTCTCTCAACACATTCAGATCTCTCAACACATTCAGTTCTCTCAATACGTTCATGTCTCTCAACACATTCAATTCTCTCAACACATTCAGTTCTCTCAACACATTCAGTTCTCTCAACACATTCAGTTCTCTCAATACTTTCATGTCTCTCAACACATTCAGTTCTCTCAATACGTTCAGTTCTCTCAACACATTCAATTCTCTCAACACATTCAGTTCTCTCAACACATTCAGTTCTCTCAACACATTCAGTTCTCTCAATACGTTCATGTCTCTCATCACATTCAGTTCTCTCAATACGTTCATGTCTCTCAACACATTCAGTTCTCTCAATACGTTCAGTTCTCTTAACACATTCAGTTCTCTTAACACATTCAATTCTCTCAACACATTCAATTCTCTCAACACATTCAGTTCTCTCAACACATTCAGTTCTCTCAACACATTCAGTTCTCTCAATACGTTCCGTACTCTATACACATTCAGTTCTCTCAATACGTTTAGTTCTTTCAACACATTCAGTTTTCTCAATACGTTTAGTTCTTTCAACACATTCAGTTTTCTCAACATATTCAGTTCTCGCAATACGTTTAGTTCTTTCAACACATTCAATTTTCTCAACACATTCAGTTGTGTCAACACGATCAGGTCTCTCAACACAGTCAGGTCTCTCAACACAGTCAGGTCTCTCAACACGGTCTGGTCTCTCAACACAGTCAGGTCTCTCAACACGATCAGGTCTCTCAACACGGTCAGGTCTCTCAACACGGTCAGGTCTCTCAACGCTTTCAGTTGCGTCAGAGAGACTCACATTGTTCAGTTTTACGACCTGGACTGTGACTTGTCGACCTATGGACCACTCAACACTGTCAGAGACTGGAGAAGTGTTTTTTAGACGCCTTTTCCACATATCAGTTTTGACAAGATGACAGTATTGATATTTCTGTTCAGTGACAAGATGACAATGACAAAAATGTTTAAGAACGTAAGGGGGGGGGGGGGGGGGGAAACTGACATAGCCAACATACAACACAGTAAAAACAACAATGACAACATATTACATACACCCAGACATATTAAATATCAAGGTTTTTGTGGACTGCATCAACGTTTCATATAAGGACAGGCTGGTAGTAAGTCGTGCTGTAGCCCGCGAATGTAAACAATGATATCACACGGAGTCAGTCATATTATGGCTGCGTCACACACTGTACTGTGGTAGATCAAGAAGACTGTGGATCAACAAGACTCCAGGCGGATCAACAAATACTTGCAGAGAGAGGACAGCCACATAGAGGAATGGAGGCGGGCAATATCTGCAGCATTGAACTTTAACGGCTTGGAATGCAGAAGAAGAAGAAAAAGAAGAAATTATATTATTGTCCGTGTATGTACATTTGTTGCGGACTGAGTCAGCCGTGACAAGAGTCGGTCAATGTGAAACTGATATACATTACGTTGAAGAATACTTCTTAAGCGTCATTGTGTGTGACTCCACATCTCAGATACCATATATCGATGAAAGACTTTCTATTTCGAAACGATGTCTGTAACTAGTTGACTAAGTAAGGTGAGATAATTCATCTGACTCAGACCATTGCTACACCGAGATCTCAAGTAAGCAGAGTGCGTTAAGCCACAAATGTTTCATCAGTTTTTGTCCTACAATTCTGGCTTGTTCTCAAAACGTTCTATTGACATTTTTACTACCGCCCCTCACGTCGTTGTGCTGTGACATTGACAAGCTGTAACCCAGATTCCTCTGTCACAGAAACAGAAAGATCGATATGCCAACGTCAGATTGGATTGTGGTCGTTTGTATGACCTGAAGTGTCTCTTATTCAGGCTGCCTGATCGGATAGGCGGATAGAATGAAGCTCTACTGTTTGGACTGATCATCTAAGCAGTGCCTGCTAATAAATTCGCGACATCATGGACCGGCTTTTGCCATCTCCTGCAGCTGCCTTAATTTCAGCGCGAGATTATCAATGATTGTCTCAGAAGATTATAAATGACTGTCTCAAAAACTTATAAATGATTGTCTCAAAAGGTTATAAATGACTCTCTCAAAATGCTATAAATAACTCTCTCAAAAGAGTATAAATGACTCTCACGGTTATAAATGACTCTCTTAATAGACTATAAATGGCTCTCAAAAGATTATAAATGATTCTCTCAAAAGGTGATAAATGACTCTCAAAAAATGATAAATGAATGTCTCAGGAGATAATAAATGATTGTTCTAAAAAGATGATAAATGCCGGTCTCACAAGATGATAAATGACTCTCTCAAAAGATGATAAATGCCGGTCTCAAAAGATTATAAATGACTCTCTCAAAAGATGATAAATACCGGTCTCAAAAGATGATAAATGATTCTCTCAAAAGATGATAAATGCGGGTCTCAAAAGATGATAAATGACTCTCTCAAAAAATGATAAATGCCGGTCTCAAAAGATGATAATGACTCTCTCAAAAGATTATAAAAACCGGTCTCAAAAGATAAATGACTCTCAAAAGGTGATAAACGATTGTCTCAAAAGATGATAAATGACTCTCAAAACATAATAAATGACTGTCCCAGAAGAATGTAAATGATTTTCTCAGAAGACCATAAATGACTGTCTCAAAAGATGATAAATGAGTGTCTCCACTATCCCTCCGTGTGTGTTCGTGCCTCATTCTAGCTACTTTGCCCAGCAGCTCCTTGTGAACATATATTCTAATCATATCGCCTTTACAGTTGAGAAAGAAGTAAAACCCCCCCCCCCCCTTTTTTTTTTCCTTCCCCAAGTTTGTTATTGCACTATAAAAATGTCAAACATATTGGGTTGTTGAATAACACGCGGATATGTAAACTGAGATGGCGAAGTGAGAGCGAAGGAGAGAGACAGCGACAGTGTGAGAGGGAGAAACCGTACAGAGGGAGAACGCGTACAGAGGGAGAACGCCTACAGAGGGAGAACGCCTACAGAGGGAGAAAGGGAAAAAGGATGAGTAATAGGGGGGAGATAGAGAAGAACATTGAGATGGAGTCAACGATAGAGAACTGAGAGACATGGAGGGAGAGTGAAGAGAAAAAAGGAAACAACAGATGACAAGGAGGAAGAAAAAGGAGAGAAAGACCATGAGGAGAAAGAAGCAGACTGCTCCCGAACCACACAGCACTTTCTTTCTATCTTCCGAATGTACCGGGAGTAAAAGCAAAACATGTCCATTAGTGATCAAACGCTTCGGCCTTCTTCCTGAATAGTTTATGTCACACGAAGTAAGCCTACATTTGGTTAAATCGCGTAATCTAATTTACGCCATCATCTGCACACACAACAGATATAATAATGCATAAATAATTGAAACCGGTAGGAAGCTAGAAGATCGTATATGGGCTGTACTGAGCCGGGTTAGCGCAGTCGATAGGAGGCTCGCTTTCAAATCCAGCTGCGACTCGCTGCAGCCCACGGTCAGTGTTCGAAACCGGGCGGTTCCCGGGGTTCACCCAGCCTCTATGAAATGGTTACCGGGGTGACACCTGGGGTAAACGGAGGTACGTCGCTGTAGCTGCAGAGTTACGTGCGGACGGCGACTCAGGCGGACAGTTTCTTATCAGCTGTCCGTACTGGTGGCAGAGCACTTATGGTTTATAACCGTGTGCGATGACGCTGATTCACATTTCCCGACTTTACCTTTACCTTTTTACATCCTAATGATATTTGTAAAGAGGTTTCCGGTCTTTCTCCATCTAAACAGTTCTGGCCACCAAGTCATCAGTGTTATCTCTCACTCATGATGATCTTAGTAATAATTCAATCGCTACCTAGGCCTTCCCCGAAGCAAGTTCATCGACACCATTCATAACTTCTACAACTGTTGGAGATGTGTCAGGACAGTCAAGAGTTGGTAGCGACTTTGTGGGTTAAGATGTCAATGATAGAGAACTGAGAGACATGGAGGAAGAGTGAAGAGAAAAAAGGAAAGAACAGATGACATGCGGATATGTACACTGAGAAATGACTTATTCAACAACCCAATATGTTTGACATCTGTTTGATCATCTGTTTGGTTTCAACTGAAAACAGCTCCAGATAATGTTCTACCATTTATCTGCTTTTTGTTGTTAGTAAAATGATCCCTATTCAAACTCTTTAGTGGTGTATATTTCTTAATAAGTTGGGCCAATAAAATTATGTTTTCCCTCAAACATGCCTCTTCGAAGTCGTATATCTGCCAGAGTGGCAAGAAACAACAAACTGCATACAAATAAGACAGTAAAACGGACGTACACGCAAATCTTAGGCCCAAAGTCCAAACAGACAATCAGGACTTTCCGCTGGAGCTTACAGCCTGTGAACAAAGAAGGAGAAGGAGTGTGAGGCATCTTATTTAGTTTCGTTTGACGTCCATCAACATCTGTGCTTATTGCTGTATTTAGTCTTCCGCTGATAAAAACTTTGGTCTAAACATTCGGTTGTATTTGTGCCCGTCTTTTCTACACTCGCTGCTAAGCTGTCTAGTGACGTTTCATGTTGTATCTCGCATGTCTTGTCATCAGCTTGGCTGCAGTCGCTCTCTGTTTACGCTGAGACAAGGCAACCACACCACTGACCTCACATGTCGGCACTTTCTGCACTTGTTTCGAGGGCCTCACTGGATTAGCCCCCCCCCCCCCCCACCCCCACCCCCACACCCTCCTTCTTCTTGCTATTGTAGACACAGACCGAAACTTAACAAATTTTCCGGTCTCTAGAATAAAAATAGAATTCTCTAAATAATTGTGTCACATATGGCTGGCATTTGATCTCTCTATTCAATTCTATCATGTCTTTTGGATATAATTAATAATTGAGCATATTTAGCCTCTATAATTAACGTTCTTAAAATGATTTCTCCACGACGTTCTCGTTTCCTCAATCCATTAGTTTCCTAGTGCACTGCCCTTTTTTAGCTTCTCAGGATGTGCCCATATATGGACATAATTGTATGCCTTGTAAACTATCTTAATTCTGCGTCTTTTGAATTCATTGTATTTACTGTTAAGGAAACTCCCCAGACATTTGTTTTCGAATGTACCTTTCGCTCCATGTTTTTTTTTTTTTTTGCGATTCTAGAAATAAACAAAGCACGGTTATATCTTTACGTGTAGCCGTGTCATCTCCGTCAGTGTGACTGGCCAACCATACTATTTATTATAAGATAATGTTGTTTCCCAAGTTTAAGGTCCAGATATTGTCCAAATGTTTGTACTGATTAATCGTCGTTGTACATAAATAATGGTTTTCTTTCAATTCGATTTTGTTGGAGGCTCCAGTAAATATGGATATCCTCAGTAGCTTAGCTGCTATAGTCTGTTTCGAAGGTCGTGCCCTCGAATGTTAACAAATACGGCGACAACTACTATAGGGAGCAGCACAAATTTGTGTATGTCGTCTTACATTTTCGATGTCCTTATAATTGTATAATATACCACTGCACAGGTGCTACTGTTTTCTTTCTTCACACTAATAATGTACGTATTCCTAAAAAAAAAAAAAAACATTAAAATACATTAACTGACACATATGGTTCATTTCAAAACCGCAAACATGGAAATTGTTTTGGAGATCATTTCATATGTGCAGCGATGCGAAATTATTTAGATAGTATATTCCGCAAACAAAGAAAACAATATGTTAATCAAATTCACAGCAGGGTAATGCATGGGAATGACCATCTGAGAATTAATTTTTTTGCACTGAATACCTCTAAAACATGTGCAGTTTGATGTTTGAAAAATTCATGTCA